ACAGAGGTCGAGGGTAAAGTGAGGATTTATTAAGCAATAGTTTGCTCTCAAGTGGAGAGTGAGTAGACTCAGGTGAGTAGCTGTACTGAATTTCTTTGGCAAGCTGATTACATGAGCTGTAAAAATGAATTGGCAGAATATTCATTGGAGAAGGAGGGGTTTGGAGCCCTATTTCCTGATTTTCATCCCAGCTCCACCTTCCTGAGGGAAAGAGGGATTCTTGTCCTTATTTAGTCTTGATTAGAAGTGTCATGGAATTAGTGCATGATGGGTACTTCTAATCTGCAAGGCTAATTTTATTGTAATGACAGCATAATGAGCAAAAGGTTATATTTGGATGTCAGAGATTCTTGCCTTATCCCACCTTTCTTTGTCTGCCTCCAGGACACTTGTCAACCCGAAATGTGTGGTTTCTTATCAGTCTGTAGGTTCCTGCTTTTCGTTGTCTGCCCAAGGGCTCCTGTTGTTCACAAGATGTGTGGTTTCCTGCCATTTGGCCCATGCCCTGCTTTCTCTGCTCATATCTAGCTCTCTGCCTGCTCTAAGAAAGTCAATAGCTTGAAATTGGCTGGAGTATTTATATTACAAAAATTGGCAAATGCCACACATCAGGGCTTTCTTACCCCACAGAGCCAGCCTTTTGAACACTCAGCAGCACACCTCAGCACTGCAAGTACCCTTCTGGCTCATGGTCTTCTTCCACCTAGTTATAGAAGAGGAGGGCATGGGAAGAGAGTGGTCCTGTTTCCAAGACAGGTTTTGTGAAGGAAAAGCCAGGCTGGTCTAAAAAGATAACTCACAAGTCTAGGAATGTGAAGGAGAAGCTGGGCTGGTCTAACAAGATAACTCACAAATCTAAGTATCGGAATACTGATCTGAGTTCTGCTGGACTAACTTGTGAATCTAAGTTAATTAGTGTTGGTTTGCTGTTCATGTTTTTTTGCTAGCCAGCTGGATTTTCAAAGATATATAACTGGCTTTGGAATGTTGGTTTGCTGCCTCCCTGCCTTCATTTTTGTGATAATGATGCTGCTAAAGCTGTTCCATGCCTACTGGCCGAATACCCCAAGCTTGTACTTTACCCTATAAAACCTCATGCACACGTCTTGGAGGTGCTCAGAGTTTCGGAGCAGAAGCCCCTCTGAGACCGCCGGCGTAATACATCTGAGTACTCCAACCCTCCGAGTGGTGCTTGTTTCTTGGCTGGCCCGTCATTTCCGTAACAGTTTTTGGCTGGCACTTGCCTGCATTTTTCCCTGTCACATACTCTGTCAAGAGTTCTATAGTCAAACAGACCCCACATTCTTAGCAGAGATGAGGTTCACCATTATTTTACCCTCAGGTTTAATCCCATATCCATTACCACTTGCTCTGTGACTTGTGCTGGTCAGTTACCCACATCTCTAGACCCATTTCCTCATCCCTATAATGAGGATAATATTGCTAACCTCATAGTTTGTTTGCAAGTGTGTATGGGGTAAGGGAGGTTACCCATGAAGTGTTTTGCTTAGAACTTGGTGAATTGTAAGTTTTTCATAAGCAGTATCTCTAATTAAAATGACATTATTAGTCAGTAGGTATTCACTGACACTTACAGAACTCCTGCCCTTGAGGCTCTTGTTAAGTGCCAGTGTCTAGAGGGCTCGTATCTCTGGTCCAAAGCCTTGAGTCAGCCTGGCTCACACGTTTCCCCCACAAGGTGGCGTTCCCTTTCTGCCTGTGCTTGTTAAGGCCGGGAGCCCTGGCATGGGTGTGATTCCCTTGTAATCCAAGCCACACCAGCCATACCCTCTCTTTCATTCAGTGTCGGCCTCCCAGTGATACCTCAAGTGCATCGAGCTTGACGATCTTTTTGGCTAGAAAGAAACAGGAGAAAGAAACACTTGAAATATGTTGATTTGGCCTGTATGACTTTTCATTGACATGAAGAAGGAGGATTTTGTGTCTCTGTGGAAAATCTTCCTTTTATTCACTGCAAGGATGCTTTTAACTGGTAGGAAGCTGAAGTCTTTGCGAGGTTCCTCCTGGTTCCTTTTCCCTCATTGTCAAGAATCCTCAGGGCAACATGATAGAGTGAAAATCAACATGGGGCCAGCAGTCAGACAGACCTAGATCTGACATATGATTCTGCTGCTTATTGGCTGAATGTTCTTGGGCTACTTATTTGAATTTCTAACTCTCAGTTTCCTAATCCATACAATGGGGGTGTCTGTCTGTTTGTTTATCTATCTATCTATCTATCTATCTATCTATCTATCTATCTATCTATCTATCTATCTATCATCTATCTATCTATCTAATCTATCTATCTATCTATCTATCTATCTATCTATCTATCTATCTATCTATCTATCTATCTATCTATCTATCTTGGGTTAGTCCTGTACTTCACAATCTGCTTCACATTAGATTCATTTATGGAAATTTGCAAAAACAGTTGATTCCTTGGCTCCAGTTCAAAAGACTGATTCACTTGGGCTTGGTTTCAGCCCGAACATCAGTCTGTTTTAGAATTTCCAGGTAATTCTATGTGTAGTGAAGTTTTAAGAACAGCTGAGATCCTATTATTAAGCCTCTCTAGGCCTCAGTTGGCTCACATGCTCAGAATCTGAAAGTCCTTGGACCTCAGCAGCTCATACAAATGCAAAATGAGTCTCTTTTGCCGACGGCCACTTTGTGACTGTAATCTTTGACCTGTTCAGATTAGCAGACACTGCAGTCTCCCTCGCACCCACTTCTTGTCTTCAGAGGCCGTTCCTGGGAAGCCCAAGAACCCCTACTGTTGTTCTGCAGGTGAGGAGAACAACACCTGGGACCCTTGTCCTCTGCTGAAGCTGGGCAGTCCCTGTGGTCGGGAGAAATGTCAGCCCTTGCCACGATTCCACAGAGAGCAGTGGGGTGATGTGGCTTCTCCTGGGTCTCCCTCGGTCAAGGATGTTCATCCCTCCAGTTGGCCTGGATTGTCAAGGACAGGGCCCATCAGGGGTCAACTCTTTCATTTCACACAAGAGCAGACATTTCCTTAGGCACAGCCCATCACCCCGACAGCCGTCTCATGAGGCAAAGGAGCATCTCCTCCCTGTCCAGAACCAGCTGCTCCTATGTCCTTTACCTGGGCTGCCCAGTCCACACTCCTCCCTCTTGACGAATTTCCTCTTGGAAATCCTTTTTCTTCTCACCGTCTGGCCTCAAGTGGGCCCACCCTTGTCTACCAGATGTGTTCTAATAAGTGCAGTAAGTAGATAAATACCAGACTTTTCTCCCAGCAGGCTCCTTGGCCCCCCGTGCAGGCTCACATATGTAAAAGGATGTATGAGAGAGGGTTCATATCAATTTACTTAGCAACCTCTTCTAAACCCAGGCCCTTCCCAAGTTCCACCTCCACCAAAAAAAAAAAAAAAAAAACCCTTCCCCAGAATCAATGGGTAAGGATTCATTCACTTTGCACATGTGTCAGAGGGACTGCCAAAGTGATTATTTCCATGATAAAGAGACAGTTTGCCCCAAAAGTCAGTTCAGGTTTTCACCATGAGCACAGAAGCCACATAAAACAACCAAGATAGCAGTGTCCTTAGTTTCAACTAATTCTAGGATTCAGTCTCCTCTGGACAGTCCATCACATGTAGATGGGGTTGACGTGAATGGCAGCCTCACCGGGTGGCTGAGAATAACAAGTGAGAAACATGTAGAAAGAACAATTTCTAATGTCTTATTTTTTTCTAATAAAATAGTTTTTTTTTAATAATTTTTAAAAAAATTTGTGGGGAGGTAACCAGGTTTTATTTTTTAGAGGAGGTACTGGGGATTGAACCAAGGACCTCGTGCATGCTAAGCATGCACTCTACCACTTGAGCTATGCCCTCCCCTGTAATGTCTTATTATTATCACTGTTGCTGGTTATGCATATCAGCATCTAATAAAAGTTGCCACTTTGAACAGTAGGTACCTCAGGACCAAGTTATCTCCCCTCCTCTTCCTGCCCCTGTACAGTAGTCAGTATAAGGGTCCGGAATCCTGACCAATACAACCTGGTAGTCCCAGGTTCTCACCCTGTCACCCAAAAGTCACAGTAGTTGGAGTAATGGAGCCTCTCCACTTAAATGCAGGGCTGTGGGCCCAAGTGTTACTTGCTGTCTCTCTCTCCTGCTTTGGTAATGAGAACAATTCAAGAGAGTAACTTTTGATCAGGTGGCCTTTGAGTTGCTTCTTGAGCTTTGGTTTTCCTCTGAATAGACCCAAGTGTCTTCAAGAGGTTAGGAGAAAACTGGAGAATGTCTGGCTTGAGCCATGTTCTCCACCGTACTAAACCCAAAGCCCTAAATATTGCAGCTCTCGGGGACTTGCCTGGCCTTTTAGAGAAGTGCAGTACAGGATCTTGATTCTCATGTGGTTCCTTGAGTCTGCTGTCTATCTTTCAGGAATCTGAGAGGAAGCAGGCTTATAATGAGCACTCCTAAGCCTAGAACAGTTCTTCTTCCTGAAAGGCTAAACACTTTCACCCTGGGGTTTTAGTGACCACTGACATTTTAAGAAATGTGCGCATGTCTCTCAAAGGAAGGTCAATTTGGGGATCATCTTGCAGTTACTAGCTATGGATGATCTGGGTCTGATTACCTAAGGGGCCAGCTTGTCTCCCTTATGGATGGTCATGAGACATACTCTGGAGATGGTGCTGACTGGGCTCAGTGGTTGACTGGATGGAGCAGGAAGGGATGGGGAGATAATCTGCTGGGTAAGTTTCCTTTAGAGCAAACACTGGCTAACTATAGCTAGCAGGTCAAATAACGCTTCCAGTTTTTGTTTTTAATTTTTTATTTTGAAATTAATTAAGACCAAATTGCTACCTGTTTTATAAATAAATTTTACTAGGATGTTACCACACTTATTTGTTTATAGATTGCCTACAGCTGCTTTCATGATACAATAGCAGAATTGAGCAACTGCAACAAATAATGTATGACTTGCAAAGCCTAACATTTGTACCATCTGGCTCTTTACAGAAGAAATTTGATGGCCCCTGTGCTAGATTCAAGGATGCTTCTCCCAACTGCCTCAGTTTCCTCCTGGCTGCAGCCCAAAGGCCACAAGACCCCACTGAATCAGAGAACTCCAGGGTTAGGAGGCATTAGTGGGCTTCCAGTGAAATTTCTCATCTGAGGCCAGAATCTCCCAAGGATACCTTCTCAAGAGATCCCCTGGAGGCGAAGGCACACCACTGCCTGCAGAGGCCAAGTCACCTTCTTTGGGAAGTTCTGGCTGCTGGAAAATCACTCCTTACACGGAACTAAAATCTGGTGGAAAAAAAAGAATTTGTTCAGGTTTTATTGTTCATAATCCCATCTCCAGCCTTTGGAGGAGGAAGACACTGTCACCAGCAAGATGGTCTGTGCTGTCTGTCTTGTGTGGGGCAGCACAACGGGTAGGGAGGAGATCTGCAGAAACTGTGTGCTCTGCGTGGAAGAAGATGCTGGATGCCTCTAGAGAGAGGAATCCAGAAAAGGGATGCTGGAGGGGCATGGCTGAAGGGGAGGGGTGAGAGAGAACCTGCAGGCGGGGAAGGAGACAGAAGTATGGGAGCTGTCTCAAATTATTCTTCAGTGCTTCTGGAGTAGGACTTGAGTGTGTGGGTGTGTTTCTAGATGCTTCAAGCCATTGAAATGTCCTTCAAGGATATGGTCCAGGTGTATTTGAGTTGTGTCAGTTTCCCTGACGTTCCCATAAAACAATCTCATACTGTCAGTCCCAAGAGCTTTCAGACCAAGCAGCACCATAGCCATAATGATCCAAATCCCACCTCACTGTCTTCCTTCCTGGCTACAGGTTTCCTCTTCTCTCACCTCAAAGGTTGCTTCAAACCAGAAGGCATGGAAGGAGAGAGAGGTGGCGGGAGACCATGCGCCATCTCCTTGGCCCAGGGTAGAAGGTTTTCCAGGGCACAGAGTAATGCACAGACCTCCAGAGCTATGTTAGAGATCCCGTATTCAAGATCTATACCTGCAATAATTGTGTGTGCAAACTTTTGTTACCATTTCTCTTCTTTGTGCCTCAGTCTCTTCCTCTGTACAACAGGAGGCTGGGGCTAGGAAAGTGCTCAAATCCTGCTTGTTGCACTTGAGTGTTCTACAAGGGGGCTTTGGAGGTGTGGGGCAGGACGCGCCACAGTGAGGATGCTAAGGGGCTGGGTTTCCTGGCCATCCTACTCAACTTTCATCTAAGCATCTCTGTGCTATCTATTGGGTAGACTGGGATTTCTTAAAATCTGTTAATACTAAATTTCTGCTGCTAAAGAAATAAAAAGGCTAGAATCCAGTGAACTTTATCTGTATTTCTCTATGCTGTAGTGCATGTCTCACTAGAGGGATTCACGCTGGGTTGTTTTTGTGATACATGGATGAACATTATTTTTATTGAGATATACTTGACATAACATTATATTAGTTTCAGGTTTACAACATAATTATTTGATATATGTATATATATACAAAATGATCACCACAGTAAGTCTAGTTAACATTCATCACTATAAATAGCTGTAATTTTTCTTCTTGTGATAAGAACATTTAAGATTTACTCTCGTAACAACTTTCAAATATACAATGCAATATTGTTAACTATATTCACCACACTGTATATTACATAGTCAAGATTTATTTCTTTTATAATTGGAAATTTGGAAGTTTGTACCTTTTGACTTCCTTGACCTTTGTTGTTCACCCCACCTCACCTCAGGTAACCACCAGTCTGTTCTTTGCATCTGGGTTTGGTGGGGTTTTTTGTTTTATTTTTTTTTAAGATTCCACTTATAAGTGAGATCATATGGCATTTGTCTTAGTCTGACTTATGCCACCCTGCAAATGACAGGATTTCATTCTTTTTATCTCTGAATAATATTCCATTGTGTATACATACTACATCTTTTTATCCATTCATCCTTTCAGGGACACTTAGGTTGTTTCCATGTCTTGGCCATCCTAAATAATGCTGCAATGAACACGGAGGTTCATATATCTTTATGAGTTAGTATTTTTGTTTCCCTTAGACAAATACCCAGTAGTGGAGTTCCTAGACCATATGGTAGTTCCATTTTTAATTTTTTGAGGAATCTCCATACAGTTTTCCATGGTGACTGCACCAATTCACATTCCCACCAGCAGTGCACAGTCTTCCTTTTTCTCCACATCCTTGCCAACACTTGTTATTTCTTGTCTTTTTTTTTCTTCCAGTTTTATTGAGGCATAATTGACATATGCACTGTAGCAGTTTAAGGTGTCCAGCATAATGATCTGACTTACATACATGATGAAATGACTGCCACAATAGATGTAGTGAACATCTGTCATCTCATATAGATTTGACATTAAAGAAATAGAAAAACAATTCTTTTCCTTGTGATGAGACCTCTTAGGATTCACTCTCTTAAGGATTTTCATGTATAACATACAGCAGTATGAATTTTCTTTATCACATTGTACATTCTATCCCTAGTACTTATTTATCTTATAACTGGAACTTTGTACCTTTTGACTACCTTCATCTAATTCCCTCTTCTCCTGAGCCCCGCTTCTGGTAGCCACAAATCTTATCTCTTTTTCTATGAGTTTGTTTGTTTCTGAGATGTAACTGCCCCACAACACCGTATTAGTTCCTGGTACACAACATAGTGATTCAGTATTTCCATACATTTCAAAATGATCACCATAATAAGTCTCATTGTCACCTGTCTCCATACAAAGATACTGCATAATGATTGACTATGTTTCCCACGCTGCTCTTTCATGTCTGTGACTCATGTATTTTGTAACTGAGAGTTTGTACACCTTCCTCTCCCTCACCTAGTTCTCTCCTCTCCCCACCCCCTTCCCCTGTAGCAACCACCTGTTTGTTCTCTGTATCTAGGACTGTTTCTGTTGAGTTATATTTGTTCATTTGTTTTGTTTTTTATATTCCACATATAAGTGATATCATATCGTATTTGTCTTTCTCTGACTTATTTCACTTAGTACAATACCCTCTAGGTCCATCCATGTTGTCGCAAATGACAAGATTGCATTCTTTTCAATGGCTGAGTAATTTAATGTCTAAAAACACTATGGAAAAATATATATACAGTAGAATATATATATATGTGTGTATGTGTATGTATGTATATATATATATATACATACATACACATCATATATACACATCACATCTTCTTTATCTGTTCTTTTGATGGACACTTGGGTTGCTTCCATATCTTGACTATTGTAAATAATGCTGCTATGAACATGGGGCTGCATTAACTTTTTGAACTACTGTTTTCATTTTCTTTGGATAAATGCCAAGAGTTGAGATTGCTGGATTTTATGATAGCTCGATTTTTAACTTGTGAGGCACCTCTACACTGTTTTACATAGTGGCTGCACAATTTACGTTGCTACCAACAGGTCATGGGGTTTCCTTTCTCCACATCCTTGCCAGTACTTGCCAATTATTGCCTTTGGATAATAGCCATCCTGACAGGTGTGAGGTGAAATTTCATCGTGGTTTTAACACTTAAAATTTTCATAGTTACCATGTTTATTTTAATACCTATAGGGAAAATCAAACCAGCACATCAAGTGTATGATTTTATTGATCTATAGCTAAGGATGAGGTCAAACGTAGTCAAATAAGCGGGTTATTTAAAGGAAGAGAAGAGGTAAATAATAGGATCATATAGGAATATGGCAAATATGATTGACATTTGGGAAGACTGGCAAAGTGGCCTCTGCACCCCTCCTGGCTGTGACATTCTAGCATTCTTTCCCTTCCCATCTTTCATCCTGTTTCCTCTGCTTCCCCAGGACAGAAAACATTGCAGTGTGTATTTTTAGGCTAAAAAATAGTGGCCCTGACATGCCCGAGGTCGGTGCTCACTGGGTCCTCTTGGTCCTGCTATGCAAAGGGCTCTGTTTTGTCAGGGAGCAGCTCTGTTTGCCCACCTCTGGTCTCTGATGAGGTACATGAAGCCGGCAGGAAACAGACCAAATTGAGAGCAAGAAAAACAGGCAGAGCTCTGCAGAAAGTGCGTGGCTGCACTTCATGGGATTAGCCAAGGGGCTCTTTGCTCCATTAGCAGAATGCATAATGGGCTCGTGTTCGAAAAAGCAAATCTGCAGAATTAGCAGCCAATAAATTGTTAGTCTTACAAACTGTGGATTCTGTCTTGCTCATTTTAAACCATCAGACCTCATTTACTTTTCTGTACTTCTTGGCATGAAATCATTTCCAATGTTCTCTTTTTAACTCACTCCTAATGGTATAATGCGTGTCTATTTCCTTTTTCTGGATTCTGGGTGATTCTGTTTTCTAATGTTAGACATGTACTGTGTGTTCACAGTTGATGAAGTGGGCATGCCATGGTGGACAGACCTTAGGTATTAGACAGACCTGGATGTGAACTTGATTTAGCCACCTGTGATCTGTGGACTGGCGTTCTGTACTTAAATAAGCTTGGTTCTTACTTTCTTTGATTACTCAACAAGAATTTTGCTTCTTTCCTAGGATTTTTGTGAGAATTTAAAAGATGCCATAAAAACAAGCAACAATAAAACACCTAGCTTGAGAATGTTGAGTTTTAGATGTTAAATAAATGTCAGTTGTTCTTCCATTTTTACAAGCTCGACAAGTCTTTGGACTAGATGCTACAGACAAGGCAAAGATGAATGTGACATAGGTCAGGATGGCAAATAGGTTTTATTTCATATGCCAGCTCTCAGAGAGCACGCCGCTTCAGGGAGAGCTCTGTGGAGATGGATTTTAAGGCTCAGCAGGGAAGAGTGTCACAGTTGATTAGCCCTGTCCTCAGGCTCAGGAGGGGGCAGTGGGGGACACGAGCATCCCATGTTTGCCATCACTGACACCAGCCCTGCTTTGGGGAAGTCAAAGCTAATGGAGTGTGAAATTCCTGGAGAAGCACGAGGACAGGGGTAGGCACTTGTACATATGTTATGTCTGGAATCCTCTCAGCCAGCTGGAGAGGGATGAATGATCAGTCTCACTTTATAAATGAGGGAATGGAGGCTCAGACAGGCTAAGTATTTTTCTCAAGGTCTTACAAAGTAGAAAGTGGTGGGAATGAGATCTGAACCCAAATCCATCTGATGTCAGAGGCCTTTTGTTTGCAGTTACTAACTTTTTAAGCTGAGGTATTCAAATAGAGTCTTTTTCCTTTAAAAAAAGATAAGGTAAAATGTGAATACTTTAAGGTTTGTCCAAGTGCACTAATCTTAAGTGTCCAGCTTGATGAACTTTTGATTACATCCGGGTAATTTAAGTACACCTGTATCACCATCAGTAAGACAAAGGTATAGAACTTTCTCACCTTTCTAGAAGGTTCCTCTGTGTGCTTTCCTAGTCAATAATCTCTCCACCAAGAGCTAACTATTCTTCTGACACTAAACAACATTAACTAATTTTGAGTATTCTTTAGCTTCATATAAATGAAATTATAAAGTAATTTCACTTTTGCATCTTGCTTCTTCGTTCAGAAAAATGTCTGTGAGAGTCATCTATGTTGTGGCAGTAGTAGTTTGTTTTTTCATTGCTGTGTACTACTCCATTGTATGAATACACCACAATTTATCTATCCATTCTCCTCTTGGGGGACATTTGGGTTGTTTGCTGTTTTTGGTGTTGTGAATGAAGCTGTAATAACCATTCTTGTAATGCCTGTGGGTGGACATATGCTCTTATTTCTCCTGAGTATGTACATAGTAGTGAAATTGCTGGGCCATAGGTTAGGTGAATATTTAACCTTAGTAGACATGAACCTTTGCCTTTTCCAGTGAGAGCTGTACCGTATCAGGGGCCGAGGTCTTCTTGATCTCTGTTACATCCCAGAACCCACAGCAATTCCTGGCTCAGAGTCAGTGCCAATGAGTAATTTTTGAGTAAATGGAAGTACTTGCATATTGTGCATCTTGGGTCTTGGCTTTGTTTTGGGGGCTACCATGTTTCAGTGAATGGAAAGGTCAGAATCTGTCTCCTTGTGCCCAGAGTCCCCCTTTCAAAACAAACATTCTATAATGCTCCCTTAAATGTCTCAAAATGAAGTTCACAGATAATACAACTTGTCTACACATATATTTTCTTTTTAATCAATGTGATGTCCTAACTTTTATGCGAAGGAAAAATAGAAAGGAAGTAATTTATAGTAAGATAATGAGTATTTTGATACACAAATAGCTGGGGACTTCTACACTGAAGACATACTGAAATACACAGATTCTCGCAATTGTACATATGATCAGTACAAATGCAAAGTGAGAGAGAGGTGCAAAGTTCTGCTAAT